CCTAGTGAGGAAGACTGCGAATAGCATAAATGGAGAGGCAGTTCCACGAGGGGAAAGGGCTGACAGCAGCGCAGAGTGAGTGCTGGGAATAGAGCCCGAACCCCAGGGGTGGAGAAGAGGAGAAAGTCTAGCGAGTACCGGAGTAATTGACCTCATTCCTAGCATGGCTGCCGTGACACTCAGTTGCAGTTTGATTTTTGTAAAGGATCAGAGAAGTGTGGGCTCTGCTTGAGGCGCTTTTAAACCTCACTGCTGTGCTGGAATTGAAGCCGGCGCCTGTGGGAGGATTTGACTGGCTGGCCCTGAATAGGCAGAGCCAGGAGAGAGGCAGGTGCTCGCCGATGGGACTCCAGACCCGACACCAGCACACTCATTTTCACTCACATCGTCATTTTGAAGCCTGTGTCTCATTTAGCAAGACATAGGGCCGGGAATGGTGGTCTTTTTGATGTCTCTGCCCTTTTGCCTGCACTGTCCCGAGAGGGCTGGGGCAGAGATCACAGAGAGGATTCAGAACAAAATCAAATTGCAACCCTTCCTTTAGCTCTGTGGCCTTGGGTAAACAACTGAGTGTACTCTGCCTGCCTGAGGTCCTGTGCTACTACGTGAGAAAACAATAGTCCCCCCACCTGCCAGTAAGATGAGTGAGTTTGTGTGCTTACACCGTGCCCAGCACAAGGGAAGTGCTGTGGAGCAGTGTCCTGAGAAGGGAAAAAGTGAGCAGCTGAGCGCGTGAACAACAAAATGAGGTATTCTGCTCCACCTAAGTCCTCTGCCAAATGCAGATAGTATTTCACTATTAGTTTCAGGATGTTTGCCTTTATGTTATGTTATAAGACTAAATCTATCATGTGGACATCTGTCTCCAGCACACACAGGAGCTGCTTAATTAGGCAACAGGTCAAGATAAAGAGGTACACACTTGGATAGGGCCTGGGAAATGGCAGTGCAACCAGCGACAGCCTCTGAGGTGTTGGTTGCATTCTCCCTGCAAAAGTAGTTGTTTACTAGGGCTAGGCACATGAGAAGTACACATGAACCTGGCTAATTCCAGCTGTGCCGTGTTTACACTTCACATAAAACTATTTGAAAAATCCCCTCAAGTTGGAAAGAATGGTCCTTATTTAGGGCTACCCCTTACATAGTATGCTTTAGTTTATCTGACTATTTTTATTACTGAATTTATTGATTTGTCCTCTTCTGCCTTATTCATTGGATCTGGCACCGTGTGACTTGTGGCTTTCCTTCCAAGTGAGAATGATCGTGAGAAGTAAATGTTTTAGATGGATTCAGGACATGAAGGCAGCCACAACAGTACAGCTGAATCATTCCCTCCCTCCCTAGTTCATCTCTGCCTATGTTTGTGCAGTTGATGCTTGAATGGAAGCGTAGCGCTCAAGAGGATAGCTGTGTCTGTCATCTCTGCGTTTTGGAGCTCTGCCCTTCCCTATCTCTGTGCACACCCTGCTCATCTGTCCGTCCTTTCCGTCTCTCCATCCTAGTGCCTTGCCCAAGACCAGGGTTGAACAGAGCCAGTTGAAAAGTCAGCAGTTTTTCCTCGGAACATTCATTATCAAGAGATAAATGGCTGTCACTGAGTTCCAATTTGTAATTTTATTTTTGTAATTATAATGGACTCAGATTTTTGCTGTGGTTTGAGTGTAGCATCCTTCAGAGCATGTTCATGTGGCATAATGGGAGAGTGATTGACAGCTGGTCTGTTTGCTGACAGTTCTTTGGTGTTTGGAAACTGAGAATGTTAGAGGTTCGTAACTATGTCCAGAGAGAAACTCTTAAACCTTTTACTTTTGAATAATGTGACATTTACAGAAAAGTTGTAAAAATGGCCCAGGAGCGTTCCATCTCCTTGTGCTGGGTTCCCCCATGTCAGCCTCTTACTTTACCCTAATAAATTTTCCCAAGCTAAAAAGCCACCATGGCGGCGTTACTGTTGAACTCCAGACTTCGTTGTCTTCCCGCGGTATAGATACTTTGATTTACTACTGCGTGCTCACTTGTAGTGTATTGATGGCAGTTTAACACTTGATGAATGTCACCTACATGTTAGTTTGAGGGTTAGTAATTTTTAACTTCTTTGGAGTCACATGACTCTTTTTCCAAAGTGTTAACCACTATAGACGTTTACTCCTGAAACAGCAAGACATAGATTTTATATAGAACTTTAGACATTTACAGGTCTTTTAGACTCTTATGACTTAGATTAAAACAGTGTCTGTCCTTCACGAATTCAGCCCAGTTGAAGAGAAAGGCAGTGCAGGAAATAGAGTATGATGTGTCGCACGCCCTAGGGGAGCTCTGCGCCAAGTATCAGGGAGCACTGGTAAGGAAATAGTCTCATTTCAGTTGAGAGCGCTACAAGTGCTGGGGAGAGAAGACGTCCCTTGATGTAGCCTTGCAGAATGAGCAAGTTACTAAATCAACAGAAGGTCAGAGAAACAGTCTGAGCAGGGGTTATAAAGCCACAAAGACCTGGGCAGAAATGCACTGTATGGTGTGTAATTGGTGGGGATTCTGATCTAGCCTCGGTAAAAGATGGTGCGAGAGGTGGGCTAGATAAAAATGGGAGAGGTAGGAGAAGCCAGGAAATGGAAAGAGAATTGAATACTTTTCTCAGTTTATAAATTGTAAAATCTTTAAATGGTTGTTTAGTAATTTGTACATACTGGTCACCCTTAGTTTTATGGCTTAATAATTTATTGCTGGTATCCATCCATATGTGAGTTGAGTAGGGAGGTAAAAGAAGTGCAGGCTTCCTGTTTTGGTGAAGGATGTCGGCGAGAGAGAGACTGGAAGCGATAATGAGGACCCAGAGAAGTTTTTCCTCCAGCTGAGTTGGGAAAGACGTGGGTGTGTTTAATGACAGCAAAGCACCAGTGGAGATAGAGAAGGGAAGCAGCTAATTGAAATCAGGTAGAAGGGTTGCGCTAACATGAAGTAGGTCTCCTGCGTTAGAAGAGACTGGGTAGTCTAATTGGCACTTCATTGCTGGTGTGCTATATTTAGAACAATCAGATTTACATAAAGCTTAAGAGTCGGCTTACAAGCAAGTTCAGCTGTGGCCTGACTTCGATCGCTGTTACCATACTCACTCCACTTACTTAATTTCTACTATTAATATACTTAAGGTCTTTGTTAAGTTCTGTGATAGGAGTATCAGAGTATCCATACTCTTGATGAACGTGGTTGAGGTCACTAAGGCTGCAGAACACGTGCATAAAAGGATACAAAATGTCTGTGATGTGGGAAATTCTGCAGCTCCTTCTCATGCTTTGGGGCTGCAGGCTGTGGCCAAAGCAGTCCTTCCATCTTCACACTTGCCTCGGGGGCTGGGGAAGTGAAGGTAGGATCTTTGTAGCTTAGTTTGTTCTGCATAGGTTCTTCTTTAGAAACCAGTCAACCTGTTTGTACATTTGGTTCATCCACAACTGACTTTTTTTTCTAATAACTTTAAACTGTGTGCCTTGAAGAGGACTAAATTTTATGGTGACCTCTTTTCGTTCCACTTAGATCACTGTGTTAATCGTTAATTTCTAACCAGATAGATACTATTTATAAAGGAATTGAACTTTTACAAGAAAAATTATTCCTGCTTTAAAATATACCACATTTGAACATAGGTTTGACCCCATGCTTAACAAAAGGTTTTTTTTTTTTGTTCATGATTGTAAAGCCCTTTGGGCATGATATTAATTGACTTAGGAAATTAATTTAAAATGAAACTTCATTAGGCAGTTATTACTTTTGCACGTATATTCTTTCTTTTCTAACTCTTTAGTGAAAACACAACTATTTCAGATATTCAGAAGTTATATACTGAAGTTGTATTGTTGAAAAACTGTTTAGTTTTATAATTATAAATAATTATTTTAAAGAAACATTTTCCTTTTGTGATAATTTTGCACAGAAATTTTATTAAAATTACAGTGTATAGTTTGAAACCCTCAGAGTCAGTACCTGTTATGCTTGTGGACTTGTTCATTTAGCAAAAATGTGCAAAGCACCATGACAGGGTAACAAGAAAGAAAGATGTGGGTCCCATGCTCGAGCATCCAGGCTAATGGAGAAGACTTGTTGGACAGGAGTGGTTGGTCCCGAAGTTGAAGATGTCAGAATCGAGGGGGGTGGAAGTAGCCTCATTTGTTTCTTTGGTAAGAGATCTGCAGCCTAAGGTGTGAGTGGCATCTGGAAGGAGTAGGAGAGCCCATGCAGGCAGGGACAGCAGGAGAGTGCTTGGGGCGCACCAGCTCCACATGATGGAGGTCTTCTCACAATTTGGACTGTGAAGATGCCAGAAAGCTATTTCCCAGAGGAGATCAGGGTTGCATTTTGAGTAAGATTAGTCTGACTGCAGTGAGCTGGGGTGGGAAATGGACTGTTGGGACTTGAGTGACAGCGAGAGGCTGTGAGCTTCCCTAGTAGTCTCTGCAAACTGGAGACCGTGAGCTCAGTGAGAACTCTGCAAGCTGCACGCCGAGACTGCTGTGATAGTGTGGGGAAAACTCCGTGCAGCAGCCTGTCTTAAGAAGCATAAAACTTTATTTGTGTGCATGTGGTTCTTAAATTCCAGTCAAGGACCCTGAGTTCTGTGAAGATTCCTTATCCCAAAAGATAATACACAACTGTTGTGAAATTTTATTTTTTTCCCTCTTGGGTGTTCTTTACAAAATCAAATTTTAAAATACTCAAATTGCAGAGTCTGTGGTCATACTGAGTTAAGAAAAGTTGTTTTCCTTTCAGTTTTAAACATACCACTTTGGAATACTTGGCCCTTAATTAACTGGTCAGGCAGAGAATTCAGTCTGCCCAAATGTTTTTGTTTTTTTGTTTTTTTGGTTTTTCTCCGGTACCGGGAACCGAACTCATGACCTTGCGCTTGCCAGGCAGGCGCTTTTGCCGCTGAGCTAAATCCCCAGCCCTCAGTCTGCCCAAATGTTAAATAGTACCAGTAAAAATTTGGAAGCCTGAAGCAAGGCAGTAAGGCCATAGTGACTGTAGCCAAGCCAATAAAAGAAGCTTATAAAAGTGAGTGTAGTTCCAGGGAGGGTGAAGTTTCAGGACTGGCCAAGCAGGGGCCTCAGGGTGACACCAGGGTCCTGGCCGGATTCTGCTCTGTATTCATCTCTGACGCTGCTCAGGTGAGTAAGTCTATGTTCTTAGAAAACCTTTTGTATTCCTTGACTTGTCTTTTTCTTCCAGGAGTAGAAACTGTATGTAGAAGATATATGAGACTATGATAGTTTTTTAGAATTCAATTTTGAATCTCTAAAGGATTGTAGTATACTGTACTGAGACTACTTGGAGGAAATGCTGGGAGCAGCAGTGGAAAGAAAAGACAGGCAGGAGGGTGCTTCTGTCTACTCTTAAATAATGGGAGGATAGACCTTAGTAAATAAAGTCTACCTTACATATAGGCAGGGGAGCAGCCAGCAGAAAAGGAGAGAATACATGTACAATATTGGAGAAATCACTTAATTTTCAAGACTACGGAAACACACTAGATGATACCTCTCCAGAGTTAGCCAGCCCAAGAATTTTACGAGTGCTGTCTCCAAGACTGCCCTCACTTCTGACTTCACCTGTATAGTTTGGGAGGTTTGCCAGACAGCCTTCGGATATGATAATTTGCTGGAAGAACTCAGAATTTACTGAAAGCTGTTATACTCATGTTATGGTTTATTAAAGGGAGTTTTGGAACAGGAGTGTAGCTCAGTGATAGAGGCTTACCAGCAAGCGCAACATTCTGGATTTGATTCCCTGCAGTTGGGGGAAAAGGAGGAGGATTTTGATTCAGATCAGAGTCATCCAAAGGAAGAGTAGTGCGAGGCAGCCTGGGAGGTTCCACTGTGAATCTTCACTTCTCTTCCATGGAGTCAGGCCGAGCTGCCCTCCCAGAATTCATAGTGCACACCAACAGGGGATGCTTTCCTGTCCTGTGTTGAATTTATTAGCACTTTGCTTTACGGTGATTGCTTGGCTAATTGCCCGCACGTTGAACTCAAGTCTTCAAATCTTTTGGTAACCGTGACCCAAAGCTGCCACACTAAGTCACATGATTATCTTTCTGGCATGGGCAGCCTCCCTCCAAGACTGGTATGGCCAGCTCCTCCCTAAGATCCAGTGTGGCCATCCCCTTCCTCAGTGGGACAGTTCTATGAGGTGTGACACAGAAGCCCCAGAAGGACAGGCCTGTCTTTGGACAGGCCTGCTTCTTCACTGCATTCGTGGATATAAAAGGATTGTGCAAAGTTTTATGTTGGGACTGATAATGGAGGTGAGCGCTGCAAGCGGAGAGACCAGTTAGGGTAACTGTTTGCAGTATTCCAGGCGGATGTTGGCCCTACCCACGGATAGCGAACTCTTTCAGAGAAAGGCCAGCAAGGTTTTTGGTGGATTGCATGTGTTTGTATGCATGGAGGGAGTCTAGGATACCTCTTAAGGCTTTTGGCATGAGTCAGTGGAAGAGTGTGGATTCCATTATGGAAGTGTTAGGAAGCCACTTGTTCTTCATAAAAATTAGATGGCTCTCACCTCTACCACCAATGGAGGAAAAAACCCTTAAAAGCCAGTCCTTTGTTGATCATATATTGCAATGCATTAAAAGAATTATAAATTAAAAGTTGTTCCTTGTGTTTTACATACCTCAAAAAAATACGTTGTACTTTATAGCATCTGTGTCAGGGTTCTGAATGAAAAAGACCATGTTATAGACCAATTATTACTCTCATGTGGATTCTTCTCTAGTAATAATACTTAAATTTCTAAGTTATATTCAGATATTTTTATTCTGAAGGGCAGAAGTAAGAATTTCCAGACCTAAAGGTGTCTGACCTGTTGAAACTAGTTGTATTTGCAGAAATCTTCGCTGTATGTTACACATGCAGCATGCATGAGGTCTCATGTTTCTTCATTTCTCATAGAGGCCTTTGTTTCTTCATGTTCTCCATTGACCCAGTAAATTGGTTTATTTGGGTCAACTAAGAATAGCTTATCTAAGGGAACTGTAAATACTGAACTCTGTTGTAGCTTTTTAACAAAATATTGGTGGTGATTGTTTTCATATATATTGGTGGTGATTATTTTCATATAGACTGGATTTCTTCATTGATTAAATGTTGGCATTGTAATTCTGTGGATCAAGTAGAATGATCTAACTATATTCTAATTGTAATTTAAAAATTAGTAATTAAAGTCTTCCAAATAGTGAAATTTTGTTAGCAGTCCTCTCTTTTTTTTTTTTTTTGGTTTTTCTCCAGTACCGGGAACCGAACTCACGACCTTGCGCATGCCAGGCAGGCGCTTTTGCCGCTGAGCTAAATCCCCAGCCCTAGCAGTCCTCTCTTGATTCTGCGATTGTAGTCAGAAGACACCAACTGTCACACACCTATCCCTATCTGTACATACCTTGCCATGGCTGACAAATCTGTCGGCTTGAGTTGGAGCTGTTTTCAAGCTCCAGTGACCCAGTAATGGTTTTGCTGAATTATGGGTAGTAAAAACAGTGTGCTTAAGAAAATTATCATCATGGGATTTGTGACTGGATGCTTATGTTTGTTTATAATGGTGGTTGAAAGGAGAACCTAGAAAAATGTTCTGTTCAAAATCTAGTTGAGAAGCAGTTTGTCCTTTTTGGCTGTTTGCTAACTGAATTTTATTCCCTTGCTATATAAAAATAGATCTGTGTGCTAAAGCGGTGTTTTTTGTTTTTTGTTTTTTTTCTTTTTTGATAGTAATAGGGGTTGAGCCCAGAGGACATTGAGCTTCTTAAATTTTGAGGCAGGTCTCACTGAGTTAACCAGGCCTGCCTGCAACTTTGGTCTTGCCTCAGCCAAGGAGCTGGAATTACAGGTGTGCGCCACCACACCCAACAGTTAGATGTTACTGAAGTTAAATACAAAGAGATTGCGAATCTTCGTTTGCAGTATGTGTTTATCAGGAAAAAGTTCAGCGAGGACAAATTACTCCTAAGTGCTGGTGTGCAGTTGCGACTCCTCCCCCTGTCCTTCCAGTATTTTATGTTTAGATTCCAAATTTCAGAAAACACTAAATATTAGCTTAGCTTTAGAAGTTTGTTTAACCTTGTGCAATATAGATATCACCAGCAGCATGTTTGGAGTAGGGAACTTAAGGGCTTGTGCAGGGTGTCTGAGGGAGGACCACGGTGGATAAACACAGGAACTTGAAGTTCTTTGGAGATTTCCCAAGCTGGTATCCCACAGCCGTTACCACTAGTTAGTTCCAGTACTTTATCCTGCAGCTTACTGGAAAAAATTCTTAAGATACTGTGTGAATTCTGTATACTTTAGCAAAACCTTATGTGTACTTTTAATATAAATTGAGAAAGAAACCTTTCTGTTTTTGTAGTACTCTATTAATAAGCTTGGTTTCCATTTTTCCCTTTTTCCTGCGATCCTGGCCCTGCCTTGGGTTCCATGTCCTTTTGGACAGGGCCTGCTCTTTCCTTCCCCACGTGCTTGGAGAATGACCTTGTTTGTGTTTGTGGCTGCATAACCAGAATTGCAGTGTTAGTGCAGGCTTAGTAATCGGCCTTGCTGGCTGACTGAGAGCCTAATATTAGGCACGTCTGAAGGCTGACTTGTAAAGGTGTCTTTAAAGTAGGGGAAAATCTGCAGCTGAAGGCAACGTGAATGTATTGAAAAAAACCAAGTAAGTGTAGAAATAAAATGTTTATTGGCTGAGAGAGTGTCACGTGGAACTTGGGTCTAAATTCTGTGAAACAGGAACATGAGTTGTCTGTTTTGAACCCGTTTCCAGACTGCTTTATTGCTTCTGCTGTCAGTCGGTGCTTCATGGTTTAGCACATGGGCCTTAGGAGATTGTCACATCGTGCTTACATGGCGAGAATTATATTAGATTCTTCCTACTGAGCATGCACCAAGATGAAAATCTTGCTAGGATTGAATGTTAGAAAATTATAGTAAATTATGCTCAAGTTCCTTACTCTTCTACCATTACCTTCAGTCTTATAAAATACCTTTCCAAAGTAAATATAAATATTTTGAGATGTAGTGGCTTTTTATATACATATACCCCGGTCAAAATGTGGCAGTGTGTGATTGTATTTTTGTTAGTATTCATCAACTTGGGTTCAAGCTCAGTAGACATATAAGTGAAAATTGGGAAAGAAAGGGCTGCGGATATGGCTCAGTGATAAAGTGTTTTCCTAGCATGTGCAAGGCCATGCACTGGGCAAACAATTGGGAAAGAAAAATAGACAATCGTGGGTTGCTTACTCTTACTAGAAGAAAAATGTTTTACTAGTAGAAAATTTGGGGGGACAAAATTTACTATTTTCCAAATATCCAGGGGATATTTACATCACTGGAGGAGAAAAAAGGCGCAAATTGGAAAAATACCCAGAAAATATTAGGCAACAGTCACATATTGAGGAGTGCTTACAAAAGAGTAGTGGTTTTTTGTTTTTTTCTCTACCCCTCTGGGAGGAACTCTAACAGATTTTGAATTAAGGAAAGATAACATAAAACTTCAGTGAGCACAGTGATTAACCACCTTTTTATTAATAATTGGAGGAGGTATGAATGAGAAAAGGGAAGGGAAGAAATGCAGATTTGAAGGTCAGAAGGAATTTTAAGAGCTTGCTCTGTCCCCCTTCCCTTTTTCAGAGTCAGATTTCCTCTTAAGAAATGGGGAGGAAACAGGGAAGAAGTAAGCAAAAGTTAGGAGTGGACTCTTGTATAATCACACTTACTGTCCTTGTTTTTTACCTATGAATATACATAAAACAATAGCAGGTTTTTGTTTAATTTTGGAGTGTAAGCATTCTTGAAATATTTTC